CTGACGACTTTTCTTCACTCCCGACATATTATTTTTTATCCAATTTTTTTTTCCAAGGGAGGAATTGAAAAGGTGGAGTGATTTCAACGGTTGAAAAGTACGTTTGAAACTGCGTAGTTTGTCCTTCGTGAAGGAGAAGCGTTGCTACTTAAAAAAAAAAAAACTATCTAAAAGATTTCTATATTAACCGAAAGACACTTGGATCCGAAAAATCTGAAGACTTTTTTTGAAAATTTACTTTATATTTTCAAGTTGAATAACATTCATTCATCCAAAGTTCGTTGATCCCTTCAGCTGATCTGAAGCAATTTTCGATCAAGCATAATTTCGATTGCTCCTGATTTTCAGCAAGACTTCGGTTGAATTGTCTATTTTTCTCATCCGAAAATAAGCGTTTGTGTGATTGCAACGAAATAATTTATTTGATTTAGTCAGATAATATGGTAATCGAAGATCTCAAATAGTTTGACGGCGCTGATGACAGTTTCAAGTATTTTTACGAATCAGATAAACCCGAGAAAAATTATGAATTCTTCGATGAAAACATTTTTATTTAAAAAAACCAAGATTGAAATAACAATCATGAATGTTCCCAGAAAATACACGGCTTGAATTATATGTGTAGTTACTTGTAATACAAGTAAAGATGCCGAAAATGAGGGCGTGCAATTACAAAAGTCGGTTTAAAAGCGCCACAAAATTGTAAAAATTATCATCACTGGGACATTGTTGACAGGGATTATCATAAAAATAGCCTGGCTTGTCAATATTTACCAAAAATTGTTCAAAAAGTTCCGTATCACTGTAGACGCTGATTACATGAATTATTCTCGCTGAAAAGCATTCAAATAGATAATTTTATGTTTCACGAAACGGACACTCATAACGTTTCGGCGCGAACTAGAATCTAACTATTTACTTTACTTGAGTAGGTGTCGCTTCTACAACTTCAGTTCATATTAGGGCAACATAGTACAGTACTGTACTGTACAATAGATGTTCCAGTACCAGTTCGACGACTTTTTTTTCCATGTTTCGAAAAGAAAAAATGTGTTCACTTGAAATTTTCAAAGGCTTTTCCTCTCAAACCTCTGAAAGTCAAATTTGTTTTTGGCTATTTTTTTCTTGACACATAAAAGAAAAAGCAATAAAAACATAAAGTGATGTGCTTTGGAAGGAAATGAAAGACTTCACTGGGCATATGAATGTTCAGTATCCTTTCATCTTATTTGAGAAGCAATTCAAGCCCCAAAATATCATTATCTACAATTTTGGGCAATTGTTCTGTTTCCCATATAACAAAAGGGCTTTGCTTTGTAGCTCAAACCTCCATCATTCATAACCTCCCTAAGACAAAATTTCCTTCAGTCCATTTTTTTTGCTGGTTTCTTGAAATTTGACTTGGAGAGGTTCGACTGTATCTATAAGTTTAAGACCATCAATATAATCTTAGCTTCCTGCAATTCTTAACCACCAAAAAATTGCTTTGAAACTTCCTAATTTTATTTTTTCTGAGTCTTTTGGAGTTTGACTGAAACAGGCTTGCCTTTTTGCACTGAAGTGTCTCTTATCACCCATTCTTCTCAAAAGATGAACCAGAATAAACCAAGCAACCCTCAGTTTGCCAAAAAATAAAAAACCCCATAGAAAAAACCTGACAATCACCACATGCGATTCCACAATAAGTTGCTTTCATTCTTTCCTCTCATACCAAAAAGAAGCATAAAATAAGCAGAGAAAAGTCGAATAAAATGAGTGAAATAGCCACTACGGGAAATTAGGCGTCCAGCTTGAGTTATTAGCAATCAACGAGGCATAAATTAGCATCAACAGCCCGCGCAAATTTTTCCACAAGCTCCATAAAATCTTGTTTCCGCTTCACCGCCGTAACTTGTAAGGCGACCCACCTGCAAAAAAATAAAAAAATAAAACCCACCCAAAAAAACAAAGATTAAACTAAATTAATAAATGAAGGAAAAACCCGGACTTGTTAATCAAAACCCTTTTTGTGTAAAAGTATCCGTATATATAAAGGCGTTGTTTTTTGGTGGGTTGTCACATTTTAAAGCTGCTTTCGTCTGATGTGTGTATCTTGTATATAATCGTGTTTCAACCGAGCTACAGTTGATGGATTAATTATAAGAACTCAAGCGGAAATTTAAAGAGGAAGCGAAAAGAATCCATGCACAAAAGAGAAACAGTAGCGATATAATAATGACTTGAAGATACATCACTGAAACTTTTGTTTCATTTTTTTATTGTTATCCGAAACATCGAGGACCAAAAAAGAAATAAAGTCGATGATGAGTTGGGGAGGATCATAAATAACAAAGTACATATGGCCGCTCATCGGATTTTCCTTCCTTTTCTCTCTCTCTCTCTCTTTCAGTCCTGAATACAATGGCAATTAGTTGCGGGATTCGGCAATCAAATAAATTGAAAAAAAAACAGTAATGATTTGAATCGCCGGGAATTTTTTTTTTTCAGTAGTGTTTCGACCGCGGATCACCTTGAATATTCACTTCAACGTCTTCCACAGTCCGGGTCAAGTTGGAGACAGTGAAGTAGGATGGCTTTGTTTTGCCAGGGGTTTGAATTGGATTCGATGAATTGTCGGTTTTCACGTGCACAACAAATGGAGAACCTGAGGATGAAAAGCACAATAATGCAATATAGTGAAATCTCAATTTGAAAAAACTTTTTGGTGATTTCAGAAAAAAATTCGTCATATACTGAATAATTGGTTAAACCAAGATTTTCGAAATTAATGAACTGTTCACAACAGACCTGTTTACAATCAATTAGATATTGATTTTATACCATTCTCAGATCTCAGATTTTCATTACCCTATTTATAGTTATGTATCATGAGCCCTTGAGTTAGACTTTCACTAGGGTTTTTTGGTCAAAATCTTCCATAAGATGGTATCACTAAGTATAAGATGCACACTACATTTTTAGTGACTTAGAACTGCAAGTTTTCAAAAATATTAACACCCTGTAGCCTTAAGAATGGTTTTTCCTACTTAGTGGTTAACCAACAAAGTTGTAATCTGTTCTGGTCAAGCAATGAGTGTTTAGTAAATACAGAAATTTTCAAAATCAAAAACTGTGAGAGGAGTGACACCTACTTTTAACTTTTTGAGCCACACCTTTAGAATTCTGCTAGTCTCATGAAGAGGGAAAGGGAGGATTAGTTTCTGAGTTCTGCTTGCATAAAATGCAAGATCCTTTCAAAAATTGTTTCTGAAACACATGTGGAATCATAAAAGGAATTAAAGAGAAACACAGGTTGAATCCCTCCACAATTGTCTTGTCCACAACAATTTTCTCTGTACAACAAATTTTTCCCAATCCCATGGGGTTCTCTCCCTATATGTTACGCAGGTTTTCTACAACAAAATTCTCTCAGCATCAAATTTTTTTCTAGTCCCTTGAATTCTGTTGTTGAGAGAGTCCACCTGTAGTAGTTACAAATATATTCAGTTAAAAAATAGCTTTTTAACTCTTTTTGAATTTGTTCCACTCAATTTCAGTTGAATACCAGTCCTTTTGTCCATATAATCAAAGAATGAAGTCAAAATTCAGTATTAATTCACCTGAAACATGGTCTCCATTGAAGGAGATACTGATAATGTGGTCAGCAGACTCCAGAGGAACAAAGGACACCATGAACTTGGCATTTCCTTGAGGATTAACCTGGGTTGGAATGTTGTGCCCATTCGCACTCACTGTGATCTCCAAATTCCCTTCTCCAGCTAATTTTGCATCAACTGTAGCCACAATACCAGGACAGACATGAAAAATTATAGTGGAAAAGCATTCAACAGGATACAACTTCATCAATAAAGGATTTCACAACAGAAAAACTCATTAAAATAATAATATAACCAGAAATGATTATGGAATTTTAAAATTTGGTTTATTCTGAAGCAATGATTTTATGTGAGAAAATGATTCACAATACTTTGAAGGAATGATTTGATTTGTAGCAATGGCTAATTTCAGAATAGAGCTCTGATTGAAAACAAGAATTTAATTGAAAAACAGATTCCATTTCAACCAATGACGTAATTTAGAATAATTATTGCATTTAAAATAATGGTTGCATTTAAAAATGACTTATTTCCAAACAGTGATTAAATCCATAACATGGATTCAATTTTTAAAATCATTGCATTTGAAACAGAGACTAAATTTTGATAATATAACAAATTTGAAGCAACTATTTCATTCAAAAATTAATTTTAAAATCTTTCAATCTTTCCTGCAAAAAAAGGACTGACCCGTGAAGTGAACAGCTCGACCGATTTTGCCATTGTTGATGGAGCTCACATGAACCCGTTTGGCGTCATAGGCCTTGGCCTTGAAAGGGGTACCAGGCACAGCGGCGCCATTATACTCCACCAACACTGTGTGAGTCCCCACTTCCTTGGGCAAGAATTCCGCGTGGAACCCAGTCCTGGTGGTTCCATTAACCTGATTGAAAAGTTGAACAATACATCAGAATCCATCTGAGTCCTACATGATGACAGAAGTGACATCTATTTTGATGAAAGTTAACTTGAGGGAGTTGAGACAACTCATCAACAATACGGCTTCTAGAGCAAGTAAACAGTTATAAATTGCTAAAAGCAGTGAAATACTTTCCTTGTGAATGCTGAATCCTTCAAAAAGTTGAAAGTTGAAAATTAGATTTGAATTGGATTCACAAATCCATCAGAGTCCCTTTTGAAAGGTAAAAAGAAATGAAGAATTTCTAGTAGCAGTTTTATTTTAACCCTTGGGTGGCAATTACGTCAACCAATCAAATGATTGGTTTACTCCTTTGCATTGCACAGTGAAATCCTGATTTCTGTAAGAGGGAAACACATTTCAGTTTGACCCAAGGTCACTGAAATGCTCCCAGGTTGAGCAGGCCAAAGTCAGGGAAAATTGAAGTACTGGACTTAAAAAATGTATTTGATTTGATTTGGGTCTTCAGCAATTATTTTTGTGGGCCAGTACCCTGTCAGGCCAGAATGACAAAGGTTAAAGAGAAATGACGGAAAGCGTTGTTCAGCCTTTACAAGGCCAGATCCTCCGGATGGGAGTCCCACACCCTAATTTATTAATCAACCCACAGGCAACCAAGATAGGACAAATCCTCAGAAGACTCAAATTGCAATCACACAAACATGTCACACATGCTAGACAATTCTCAGAGAACAATCCTCAACACAACACGCCATTGGGCAAGGTTTGCAGTCAAGTGAAGGCTTTGGAGCCTTTGCCAAGTGTTGTTTTGTGCAGATCAATATCTGTTCACCCGGTTTACCACAGTGCGGCAAACCTGGTGCCACTCCACTTCCTGGTCTGCGGGTTGCTTTTGTAACTTATCAACGTGTGTGTGCCTGAGCAAGGATGCTACGCTCAGGTCACGCCGCGTCACTTGCGACCCCACATACAGTGGCCCCCCGCCTAACAGACCTCCCATGTAAGGGATTTTTGCCAAACAGACCAGCTCTGCAAGCAGTTT